CTTGATTCATTCACAGAGGTTATACATATATACAGTTGAGGTGTTGCCCTAACACATATGGAAAGAGCTTGTAAAAACAGCAACATACATAATACAATGAATGCAGAATATATGATTAGCAATGGCTGATTGTAAGGATGATTAGGATCTGATATCCTGTGTAGTTGATTGAGCCGTGATTGGTGGTGTAGCATCATGTGTTTCCATAATACGCCCCCGCAAGATGGTAGAGCCATCAGCGATATCAATCTTGGAACGCAGCAAGGCAAATCTAGAAGAGGAAAGTGGTTTTGTCAACCCATCAGCAAGTTGATCGGCAGAGGCAATGTGAGAGACACGAAGAATTTTCTTATCCACGAGATCACGAATAAAATGAAGATCAATTGCTATGTGCTTCATACGAGAGTGCATGGATGGATTACTGCTGAGATAGGTGGCACCAACATTGTCACAATACTATCTCAGAAAGCACTGGTGGGGCATCAACTTGAATCCCAAGCTTAGTCAACAGATTCAGTACCCATACTATCTCAGAAGAAGCTGCTGCCAAAGCTCTATACTCTGCCTCGGTGGAACTGCGGGCAATAGCTTTTTGCTTGCTAGCCTTCCAAGAGATAGGGGTAGCACCAAGGAAGACAATATAGCCAGTAGTAGAAACCCGAGTGTCCTTATCACCTGCCCAGTCAGAGTCACTGAAAGCATGAAGAGCAAGAGTAGAAGTGGGTCGTATCAGTAGCCCATGGAACATGGTGTGCTTCAGATATCGAAGGATACGTTTTACGGCCTGCCAGTGCATCTCAATTGGACAGTGCATATACTGAGATAGTTTGTTAATAGCAAAAGAGATATCCGGACGAGTTAAGGATAGGTACTGCAGGGAGCCAATGAGTTTCCGATAGGCTGTGCCATCAGGAAGTCGTGGAGAGCTGGTTTGGGAAGACAACCCAAAAGTAGGCATAGGCGTGGCAACCGGTTTCGCACCATCCATTTTGTGCTTCTGCAAGAGATCATTAATGTACCTATGTTGAGAAAGGAATAAACCAGCAGAGGTTGTAGTAGCTTCTATGCCCAAGAACAAACTGAGGTCACCAAGGTCCTTCAAAGAAAACTTCTGCCCCAACCTGTGAATCAAGTCTGAGATAAAAGTAGCACTATTCCCAGTAATCAAGATATCATCAACATAGACCAGCACATAGACAACAATTCCAGCATTATTATAGATGAATAAAGAGCAATCAGAACGAGAATCAACCATACCACATCCAAGGAGGAACTGTTTCAATTCAGTGTACCAAGCCCGCGGAGCCTGCTTAAGACTGTAGATTGCTTTCTTCAATTTACAGACATGATGAGGAAGATTGTGATCAATAAAACTTTCCGGTTGAGCCATGTACAAATCCTCCTCAACCTTGCCATGGAGAAAGGCGTTGTTCACATTGAGTTGCCGGATTGACCAAGCTTGACTTACAGCAATGGTAAACACAGTGCGAATGGTGGTTGGTTTGATGACCGGACTGAAGGTGTTGGAATAGTCATGGCCAGGACGTTGATGAAATCCTTTCGCCACCAACCGAGCCTTGTAGCGCTCAATATCACCATTTTTGCCTCTCTTTAATCTGAAGACCCATTTGCAACCAATAACATTTTGGGTTGGAGATGGCGGAACTAGATCCCAAGTGCCTTGCCGAACCAGAGCATCAAATTCCTCCGACATAGCCCTTTGCCAATGGGGATGACACACGGCTTGGCTCACACAAGAGGGCTCAACCGAGACTGGAAGGGGGTGTTTGGTGGCAAGATGCATCTGTTTGGGTTTAAAGATGTTGTTTAAGGACCGGGTGATCATTGGGTGAGTGCGGTGGATGATGGGCGATGGTGGGAGAAGGGAGGACGGGGCTGACCCAGGTGAAGTAGATGCGGTGGTTGGGGAAGCTGGACTTGGTGTCACAGAGGAAGGAACAGGGGACGGGGAGGGAGGGGGCAGGGCTGTGACAGGGAGAACAAGGGAATTACCTGAGCAGAGAGGAGACTGAGCTGGATCTGGACCGCAAGCAGAGGGGGGCGAGCCGTCTTGCAGAGGAGGGATGACAAGATCAAGCAGAGGGGAGGCTACAGCAACGGCAGATGGCAAGGAGGCAGGCAAGGTTGGGCAGGGATCCGGAATGGAAGCCGGTGATGAGGGGGCTGGCGGGATGG